AAAAAAACTGAGGACCTTGACTTTTCTTTGCACGAGACAGTTGGAAAGTGCTTTTTCGGACTCACCTCGAAGTGCTGGCCGCAGACGGCGATGACCAGGATGGCGACGCACCAGGTGACTGCGTTCGCCATGATGGTGGAAAGAGAGATTCCCAGGGAATGACTGCCGAGCCCGGCCGACCGATTGCTTTTATAGAACGCATGTTCCGGCCGGGGCCGGACGGTACGCGGGGTGCGGTTCCGCTCTGCCACCGTGCGTTGGGTACGCCCGTACCGGGCGGGGAGGGGAAGGGAGGGGCGGAGGGGTTGACAGCCGCCCTGCCGCGCGAGGTGCGACACCGCGACGCCGCGGCCGGCGGCGGATATCAGTTTCCAAGGCACGCGCGGCTGCGGCTATCGATTCGACTCCCGATCAAACAGTCGTGTGTTGTGAGAGGCCGCAGCAAGCGAGGGATGGGCGAAGACGCCCCGCTTCTGGGGCTGGCCGCGGCGACTCGAAGCCGCCGCGCCGTCGCCAGTGTGAGTGTGCCGTACCATCGCGGGTGAGGGGTCGTCGCCCACCGATTGGGTGTCGCCGATTACGTCATTGTTATCCGGGCATACTTTTTCACGCGGTTGCACACGCGGGTGGACTTGAGGAGCAAATAGGGGGCCCTGCCTGAAGCCTTCCCCGCCTTCGCCCCCTCCCCTCAAGAAAGTTGCAAATTTACATAAAAAGTGCGGATAGTGCGTGTAACAGACCAAAGGGGGCCTGCCAGGACGCAGGGGTGGGGTGGTTCGAAACGCGCACGATCCGATCGACAGCCGGTCCTTTTTGGTCGCCAACATCCAGGTCGAGCACTTGTTGTGTATACTTTCAGGCGTGTCGTCTGGGACCGACCGAGGTGTGGCAGGGGGATGACGCGCAGGACTGGGTCCGTAGGACATCACCCCCTCCGAAGCAGGCCGCTCGGTGGGCTAACTGTTCTGTCTTGGAGCTGTGTGTTTTATCCGCGGACTTTATGTGATTTATGTTTCATATTGCGCTGCGTAGGAGTACATGAAGGGCACAGGGACACAGGGACACAGGACACAAGCCGCCACCCCAACCTCTGAGGAGTGTGTGTGTGTGTAGGGGGGGGGGGAGACGACAAAAACCCCCGTCCAGCATTCTCCATTACAAATCACATTAATCAGATTGTCCAACGCCTCGCGGCCCTGAGCGAGGACAAGGGTCAACAAGGGTGCGTCACTACCCTACTTAAAGCTACGAGGAGTCAGCGCGCGCTCACCCGCCCAGGGCCTCGGGGCGGTCAACAAACTCGCCGGGCCCAGGCCGACGGCGGTATTTCTGAGTTTTCGCAGTTTTGAGGTATGTTTTGCACTCCGGCGCGTGCGTGACATTGGCCGTTTCCGAGAATGCGTCTAACTTGGCCTTCTGGATCGCAAACAAACGTAGAGACTGGCGCCGGCCGACCCTAACCTACGTTCTCTTTCTAACCTCAAAGCACGTCCGGTCAGTCTGGGATGTTATGATGGATTTAGTCTCAGTGAAGCCAGTGAAGCTGAAGCCACCCCGTCATTTGTTTTGGGTAATCTGATTGGTCGCTTGGTCATTCAACCAATCAGATTGCCCAAAACAAGTGATGGGGTGGCTTCAGCTTCACTGGCTTCACTGAGACTAAATCCATCATTACCTCCCGCAAAGGGTTCAAAACTTACCCAGCCTCTCTCTCTGCATCCTTGGGCTTGGGATGCCGTGGAGTGAGGTCACCTTATCATCATCAGCTACGAGCACATGTTGTCGTCCTCACAACCACTTCACTGCGCCGCCGCCGCTACGCCACGTCTAGCAACCAACTTCGCTCTCAGTCTGTGTTCATGTTCCTGGCCATGTCCTCTCATTCATTTCTCACAGCTAGATGTCGCGCCAAGTTCCAAGTCCATTCACAAATTGTCATCTGCAAACACGCCGACGACGACTGCTTATTTTGACGTGTCTCGACGCGTCGCACACTGCGCGTCGGGTCGGGGCCCGCTGCTTCGCGCACACGTTCTCTGCTGTGGAGTGGAGGCGCCTCTCGCTACGCAACCTACAGCGCAGTGCTGTCGAGTGGGCTGCCTATCCCCACGGAGCCGCAGGCTCGCCGTGACCAGCTGGCCAGACTTTGGTTGCATTGGAACGGTATCGTGTGAATGGTGTCTCTTTTATTATTTAAAAGCATAGGTACTCATCATTTACATAATTTATTGTTGAATTTACAACACAAAAATAAATACGTGGTATTTACAACTAGTTACAGAATGCAGCTAAGGATAGCACAGAGTTTTATGCAGTGGCATCGTATTTTTTCTCCCCTTTAGTTTGAATCTAATTTATCTCATTGTTTGTCAACTTATATGAAGAAAATACACATTGTCTAGTTTGCGCCACTAATTTTGTACCCCCCCCCCCCCTTTCAATCGCAGCGCGGCGATAGCGATTTCTCTCTTGCGTCGGACTGGCCGCTATGGTCCACGGATTCTTGTACCCTTAAGTGGTCGAAGTTTTGGTCATCACCACTCCTCATCCTCAGGCAGGGACGCCTCGGTCAGGATGTGTCCACCGCTGGTCCCCGCCGAGGCCGTGGCCTTCTCGGAGCTGACGGGCTGCTTCTCGATTTTGATGGAGGAGACCGATGAGGGGAACTTGGCGAGTTCAAGCGGCTCGGAGGACTCGAAGACGTCAATGTCGTCCTCGACCGGAACGGAGTAGCTCTGAACGGAGAACGCAGGCTCCTTCTCGATTGCCGAGCTCTTGACTGGGGCAGAGAACCTGCGTGCGGGGGGTTCCACCACCCTGGTGGTCGGGGCGGGCTTCTTCTGCAACTGGAAGGTGGGCTGGTCCTCGGCCGAGTCCTCGACCAGGGTGGAGAAGCTCTGGACGGCCGGGGCGCGGGCTGGGGTGGCGACCGCCGGCTTGTAGTCGACCTCGCTGGCGTACCTCTGGGGGATGACCTCGGCCGAGTCCTGCTCTGCCGAGCCGGGGGTCTCGTTGAAATCAAAGATCGCCGAGGGCTTGGCGGCCGGCGTCTGCGCGGGCTGCTTCTTGATGTTCTTGATCATGGGCGGCGCGTAGATGCTGTCGGAGTGCGCGGTGAAGTAGTAGGTCGGGTACTGCGCGGGCGTCGTCTTGCTGCTCTTGGACTGCTGCTTGGTGGCATCGCGAACCGCTCCGACGAGGATCTTTGAGGCGGCCTGCTGCGTGTTGGACTGGACCGCCGGTTGGATCCATGCTGTCTGCTGCTGCTGCTGCTGACGGTGGTGAAGTCCCTGGCCGAACGAAGCGAAATCACTCGCCGGCGCCACCTTGGCGTAGGTCGCGGAAGATGCCGGCTGGCTGGACTGGGACTGGGTCTGCTGCGAGGAGTAGCCGTAGGCCGGATGGGCAGCGCTCGACTTGTACTGCGTCACGGTCGACTTCTTGGTCTGCACGGTCTGCTGCTGGGGTGCGTAGTACACCGCGGGGCCAGGGAGGTACTTCGTGGTGGGCTGCTGGGGGACGGATTTAGGGGCAGGCCTTTCATAGTAGACAGGTGGTCCGGGGATGTATTGGGGGGCAGGCTGCTGGGGGACGGATTTAGGGGTGGGTCTTTCGTAAGAAACGGGAGACCCTGCTACATACTGGGGGGAGGGCTGCTGCGGGGCGGATGCGGGGGTAGGTCTAGCGTAGAAAACAGGGGGCCCTGCAACGTACTGGGGGGAGGGCTGCTGGGGGGCGGGTGCAGGAGTGGGTCTAGCGTAGTAAACTGGAGGCCCTGCGACATACTGGGGGGAGGGCTGCTGCGGGGCTGCTGCGGGGGTAGGTCTGGCATAGTAAACTGGAGGCCCTGCGACGTACTGAGGGGTGGGTTGAGGGGTAGGTCTCGCGTAGAACACTGGTGGGGCTGCCTGGTACTGGAAGCCTGCGGCTTGCTGCGACTGGGCAGGCTGAGCGGACTGCACCTGCTCGCACACAATCGGCTCGGGCTCCGGCTCGCAGTCCGGTGCAGGCGTCTGGGGCACGGGCCAGGGCTGCGGCTGCGGAGCAGGGTAATGCCTCATCTTGTGGGAAGTGACGTGGTGGGACTGGACGTTGGTCTGGGTGAGGTCGTCTTGCTGCTGCTGCTGGATTTGCTGCTGCTGCTTCTGGATCTGCTGCTGCTGGATCTGCTGCTGCTCGATCAGCAGCTGCTGGATCTGCTGCTGCTGGAGAAGCTGCTGCTGGATCTGCTGCTGCTTGAACTGCTGCTGCTGTTGTTGCTGCTGCTGCTGCTGTAGTTGTTGTTGTTGCTGCTGCTGCTGCCACTGCTGCTGTTGCTGGATCTGCTGCTGCTGCCACTGCTTCTGTTGCTGGATCTGCTGCTGCTGCTGCCGCTGTCGGTGGCCAGGTTTCGGTATGCCGTAGTGCGCCTCGCAAGGGACGTCGAAGGCGACGGCCGGCTTGGGCTTGGGCTGGGGCGCGGGGTGGGGCGCCTGCGCGGCGTGGTGGTAGTGCGCCGTGCTCTGCGCCTGCTGCTGCTGGGCCGCTGCACTGTGGACCTGCAGGCCTTCGGCGTACGTCTGTCCGCTGGTGCCCTTGATGACCACCTGGACGTTCTCCACGGGGTGAGGGCGCTCGGCAAGGAGGTGCTCGCCCTCCTGCAGGTGGCTCTTCTTCTCCTCGGACTCGCCAGCGTACTTCGGCACACTCTTCGACGCGCTCTGCGAAGAGGGGAAGTACTTTTGCAGGTCCTTGGCGTCGTTGTCGACGCAGTCGGGGGTCTCGTCCACGTACTCGTAGTCGTATTCGACGTACTGAGCGTCACCGGTCGCTGTCTGAGTGGTGTTCTTCTTGGCTACGTTGTTGTCGACGTCGACTACGATTATTTTGACGTCTTCCTGGGGCTTGTTTGCAGTTTCCGTCTGGGTCACGGTCTTGGTCTCCGTCACGGTTGTTTTCTTGTCCACTGTTTCCTTCTGCTCGATGTCGACGGTCTCGACCATCTCAGAGACGACGGACGCTTCCTTCTTCAACTCCTCTAGCTTTTCTTCCTTTACCTCAACCACTTCGACTTTCTCCTCGTACGAGTTTGAAGGCTGTGGCAGCTCGGGGATGTAGGACTGCTCCTCAAGGACCTCCTCCTCCTCCTCCTGGTCGTCACCGAGGAAGTCTTCCTCCTCCTGCGTCTTGGGGAAGGACTCCTCGTACGTCTTGACGTTGATGACGGTCTCGCCGTTGTTGCTGACGATGGTCTTGCTCTCCTCTGTTTCGCTCTTTACCACGACGGTCTCCTTGATGGTCTTCTCGACGGCGGCCGCAGTGTTGTCGAAGGTCTCCACCTGCAGCGGGCTAGTCTCGGGCTGCAGCTTGATGGCCTCCACGACCTGGATGGTGTGAGTTTCATCTGCCTCCTCGATCGTCTTCTCCTCGATGCTGGCCGACGATGACGCCTTGCCGGTGGTGTCCGCGTCAATCTCGCCACCCTGCTCGGAGGCCTCGGAGATGTTGAGAATGTTGACCGTCTTCTTCTGCTGCTCGGCGGCGCACTGCTGTTGCTGCCCTTGCTCCTCTTCGGCCTGCGTCAGGTCGCCCAGGGTGACCTCCACGACGATGTCGGAGGCCTTGCCGGCGGCGAGGGAGGACGGCCCCTGGCGCATGTTGACCTCCACGTTGCCGCAGCTGCACTCGTTCTGGGCGGCCTGCTCGTACTCGTTGGCCAGCGACACGAGGTGGTTGCTGAGCTCGGGCGGGTAGACCTGCGCCTCCTGCTGCGCCGCGGCCTGCACGGAGTACTGCATCTGGGGCGCGGGGACGTAGTGCGGGTAGTGCACCGGGTACATCTGCAACGAGAGATTCGTCAACGTTCCTGCATTCTAGACTTTACTTTCACCGTACTACACAGTACGGACTGGTATTGTTGTACTTCGAAGGCTTACCGAGGGCTGTGCGCTGGGGATGGGCACGGAGTGTGGGTGGTGGTGGTAGTAGTAGTAGGGGTGGGGGTAGACGCCGCCATAGTGAGGCACCGTCGCGGCCGGTCGCGGCCGGTACAGCGCAGCAGAGGGCGGGGACTGCGCCGACGTCGCGCTGCTCGGGGCGGCGCCGGTCTTCTTCAGGAGGATGTCGCCGACCTGCTTGAAGGCGTTGCCCGTCTTTCGGAGCAGCTGCAGCACCTCGGGACTGTTCTCGGCCGCCGCGTGGCTGCACGGCCACGTCCGGCTGCTGGGCACGGCGTGCGCCTGGAATAGGAAAGAAACGAAAACAACACGTCAATAATGTGCAGGGCCTTGAAGACGGGGTGGGGGATGCAGGCCAAGCAGCCAGCAGCAGCGGTGACGACGTTGGCGCCCAAATGGGTCACCCACTCTCGTCTCGTCAACTTTACGCTTAACATTGCACTTTTCCTCCCTGGCGGCCGGCCTGACCCACTACCCACAATGCAACGACTCCCCGAACGGCGCGAAAAGACACGAAGGGAGGACGCTTAACTGGAAATGCCTTGGTCACTGCATAGGTCGTTACATTTTAAACCGATCACGGCACAAAGAACACACTTTTGAGCGAAAAGGAATCAATATTTAACAGACGTTTGTGTCGCAAATCGCAAGTTAAAAGTGAATTTATAAGGATAGAGTTTACTCAAACATGCCCGTAATGCCCCCAGAAAAATAAACGCGAATTGCTGGGCTGACGTAACTCGCGTTTCGCTTTAAACTTCTGATTAGCACGATGTAAACTAGTTTTGGCGGGTAGTTTCAGTCGAAGACCGGCAAAGTGCGATCACACTGTGGTCACGACGCGGCACTGAACGTCTCAAGCGGCAGAAACCATCGCGTCATCAGAGAGGGGAGGTGGTCTCCCAGGAGGAGAAGTAGGCCTCCTGCGGCATTCGGACCGGCGTCATCATTCCTCTTCACACAATGGACCATAGCGGCTTCGGGCGGCCATCAGCACATTTCAGGACTCACCTCGGCGCAGGCCACGAGCACGG